CACACCCACGTTCACCCTCACCCACTGTCACACTCACCCTCACACCAACACCCTCGCTCACTGTCACACTCACACACCTACACTCACCCACACACCCTCACGGTCACACACCTACACTCACACCCACACTCATGCTCACCCACTGTCACACTCACACTGGGACCATGAAGACTCACCACTGAACCTCATGGAAACAGCTCTGGGAGGAACCTGGGGTCTGAGGAGGAAACCCGTGCAGACATGGAGAGAACGTGCAAATGAAACGCCATTATTTGAGGACCTGCTGCACATGAAGTAAGACAGAAGATGAAAAGCAGAGTCTAGAACACAGAGAGGCTGAGTGCAAAGATGCTGCTGTGTATCCCTGTCCTGCCTTGGTCCACTGAGGATTTGTGCAGATGAACTATAACAAGCCAGGTAGTGCACAGCGGTGGTCCCACCTACTCAAGAGGCTGAGGCAGGAAGATCACTTAAGCCCAGGAGGCAGAGGTTACAATGAGCCAAGATCACACCACTGTACTCCAGCTGGGGCAGCAGAGCAAGATCCTGTCTCAGAAAGAAAGAAAGGAAAGAAAGAAAGAAAGAAAGAGAGAGAGAGAGAGAGAGAGAGAGAGAGAGAGAGAGAGAGAGAAGAGAAAGAAAAGAAAGAGAAAGAAAAAGGAAAGAAAGAAAGAGAAAGAGAAAGAAAGAAAGAAAAAGAAAGAAAGAAAGAAAGAAAGAAAGAAAGAAAGAAAGAAAGAAAGAAAGAAAGAAAGAAAAGAAAAGAAAGAAGAAAGAAAGAGAGAGAGAGATACAGGGCTGGGCATGGTACCTCACACTTGTAATTCCAGCACTTTGGGAGGCCAAGATGGGTGTACCACAGATCAGGAGTTCAAGACTAGCCTGGCCAACATGGTGAAACCCCGTCTCTACTAAAAATACAAAAATTAGCCAGGTGTGGTGGTGGGCACCTGTAATCCCAGCTGCTCAGGAGGCTGAGGGAGGAGAATCACTTGAACCCGGGAGGCGGAGGTTGCAGTGAGCCAAGATCTAGCCACTGCATGCCAGGCTGACAATAGAATGAGACTCTGTCTCAAAAAAAGAAAAAAAAAGATCAAAACAAACAAAGGTACCAGGACTAGGGAAATGTAGGAAGCACAAAGTGTTTTCTTTCTCTCTCTCACTTTCTTTCTTTCCTTCTTTCTGTCTTCCTTTCCTTCTTTCTTTTCCTTCCCTCCTCCCTCCCTCCCTCCCTCCCTCCCTCTCTCTCTCTCTCTCTCTCTCTCTTTGATGGGTCTCACTCTGTCACCCAGGCTGGAGTGCAGTAGAGCAGTCTTGACTCACTGCAGCCTCTGCCTCCCAGGTTCAAACAATTTTCCCACCTCAGCCTCCCAAGTAGCTGGGATTACAGGCACACACCACCACACCTGGCTGATTTTGTATTATTAGTAGAGATGGGGTTCCACCATGTTGGCCAGGCTGGTCTTGAACTCCTGACCTCAGTTGATCCACTCACCTCAGCCTCCCAAAGTGCTGGGATTACAGGCGTGAGCCACCGTACCCAGCCCACAGGGCATTTTCTATAGGGTCCTCCATGGTCAATATAGGTAGCTAGAAACTACAGAAACTACTAGAGTTAGCCCTGAGCTTTCTGAGCATTAAGAATAAAAGGGAAACCGTTTTATACTTGTAACAGGCAAAAAGAGAAACTACACAATCTTCGGAAAAAATTAAAGCTTGTATAGCTTTTGATTGTAAGAATTTGCTAATACGGTTTCTTTTCTTTTCTTTTCTTTTTTTTTTTTTTTTTGAGACGGAGTTTCGCTCTTGTTACCCAGGCTGGAGTGCAATGGCGCGATCTCGGCTCACCGCAACCTCCGCCTCCTGGGTTCAGGCAATTCTCCTGCCTCAGAATTGGGATGCAGAGGTTTATGCCTCCCACAAGTATAGTAATGGATTTCATAAGGTTATTTATTCTATTCATTTTCATTTTTAAAGTAATTTCAGACCACAAACAATTGCAAAAAAGGTACAAAGAAGTTGCTAATACTCTTCATCTAGATTCCCCAATGTTGTATTTTCCCATATATTCACCTTTTTTTTTTTTTGAAATGGAATTTCGTTCTTGTTGCCCAGGCTGGAGTGCAGTGGCACGATCTTGGCTCACTACAACCTCCACCTCCCAGGTGCAAACAATTCTCCTGCCTCAGCCTCCCAACTAGCTGGGATTACAGGCGTGCACCACCATGCCCAGCTAATTTTGTATTTTTAGTAGAGACGGGGTTTCACCATGTTGACCAGGTTAGTCTTGAACTCTTAACCTTGTAATCTGCACACCTCGGCCTCCCAAAGTGCTGAGATTACAGATATGAGCCACCGTGCCCAGCCTAAAGTTACTAGTTTTTATTTTTATAATTAATAAATATTTATAAGGAGACACTTTGGTGTCATAAAAATCTCGTCTCATGTCCAACCCACTAGTTTCTTTGCTGACTCTTGCATAAAACGATTTGTCTACGACAGCCAAATGGCGAAGTTCTAATTCCATCATTCCCTCTGCATTCATTTGTTGGCATTCTGTGGTTAGGAAGAACTTCCCATTCTCCTCCACGTGTTTATTTACATCAGTACGGACTATTTTCATGCTGGGTTAATTCTGTAATCCATTTTATCATTATTTATTTCGCTGCTCAATTTCTCTCACATTCGGCCATCAAATGCCACATCAGGCTCTCACATCTCTCCTTGGACAGGTCCCCACCATGCTTACTTCTTCACTTTCTGCACAGCAGTATTCACAAGGCTATTTCTTTTTGTTGTTGTTGCTGTTGTTTTGAGACAGAATATCACTCTGTCGCCAGGCACCAGGCTCTAGTGCAGTGGCGCGATCTCGGCTCACTGCAGCCTCTGCCTCCTGGGTTCAAGCAATTTTCCTGCCTCAGACTCCCGAGTAGCTGGGACTACAGGAGCGCACCACTGTGCCCTGCTAATTTTTTGAATTTTTTAGTAGAGACGGGCTTTTACCATGTTGGCCAGGACGGTCTCATCTCTTGACCTCGTGATCCACCCGCCTTGGCCTCCCAAAGTGCTGGGATTACAGGCGTGAGCCACCGCGCCCGGCTGTTGTTTTTTGAGACAGAATCTTGGTCTGTCTCCAGGCTGGAGTGCAGTGGTATGATCCTGGCTCACCGCAACCTCCACCTCCCGGGTTCAAGCAATTCTCCTGCCTCAGCCTCCCGAGTAGCTGGGACTACAGCTGTCATCACACCCAGCTAATTTTTGTGTTTTTAGTAGAGATATGGTTTCACCATATTGGCCAGGATGGTCTCAATCTCTTGACGTGATCTGCCCGCCTCGGCCTCCCAAAGTGCTGGGATTACAGGCGTGAGCCACCGCGCCCGGCCACATGGTTATTTCTTAATGAGTTCTTGGACAATATCCTAAAATGTGGCTCCACGAAAGCAGTTTTATAGACTCTGTGATCCGGAAACACTGCTATGGGGTTGTTTGATTCGAGGCTAAAGCTCAAATAAATTTATAGAGATGGGCACCCTTCCACCAATCAGTCCACAAATATTGCTTCTCCTAAACATGCTTTTTTTTTCTGCCTATTTCTGGTGTAAATAAGCTTTTGATGAGACCTGGACACCAGTCAATTCAAGACTTTGTTTCCTGCCAAGGGTTGGCAACATTGTCCATGCAACTTTCTGCAATGATGGACGTGTCCCTTAGCTGTGTTACCCAGTAAAGTAGCCACTGGCCACACGTGAGCACTGGGAATGTGGCCAGGATGACGGAGGAACTAGCTGTTCATTTAAACTAGTTAATTGTAATTTCCATTTACATAACCACACATGGCTGGTGCCTACCTTATTGGACACACAGGTCTAGAGGGAAGGTTTTCTATGGCATTGATAGAGGATGGATTAAAATGTAATAGAGATGAAATAATGAAATGTAGCCCTAAATTATTAAACAATTAAAGAGCTTCGTGGAATTATTGATCCTACACCACTTAAGTAGTTTGTATTTATCGGATTATTTAAACAGTAAATTGTAAAACTACCACACTCCGTTGAGGCCACTGGTAATTTGTGACAACATCATTACAGCATCAGCTTATGGGATATTTGTCCTTGTGGGTTTGTTTGTTTGTTTGTTTGTTGTTTTTGAGGCAGAATCTCGCTCTGCTGCCCGGGCTGGAGTGCCGTGGCGCCATCTCGGCTCACTGCACCCTCTGCCTCTCAGGTTCAGGCAATTCTCCCTGCCTCAGCCTCCCGAGTAGCTGGGATTACAGGCCTGCACCACCATGCCCGGCTAACATTTGTATTTTGTAGTAGAGAGCGCGTTTCACCATGTTGGCCAGATGGTCTTGAACTCCTGACTTAAGGGGATCCGCCCGCCTCCGCCTCCCAAAGTGCTGGGATTACAGACATAAGCCACCACACCTGGCTGTCCCTGTGGTTTTTCCTGCATGCAGATCATCTAAAAGTTGTTTCAAATCAGTAACATCTTTGGGCAATGATGAGAATGGGATTAAAAAACAATCCCAGTTGTATGTTCCCTCGACAATCTAGAAGTTGTTAATGCTATGCTTTGTGGAAAGACAAACAGGACAGGCCGACCCTGAAGATGTGGGTTGCCTGGCAACAATCTAAATGGGGCTGTAACCTCCCCCTTACCCCGCAGGAGGGGCTGTGCCCAAATGGAACTTCCCACAAGGTCAACAGGTGCTGGCAGCAAGCACTGCACACAGCGAACTGCCTGAACAACTATCACCCAAGCCCAGCCCGCCCGATGCCCAAGCAGACATTTTGTTCCCCCTGGCAAAGCCAATCGGGCTCTTTAAAAAAGGAACCCAACTGAGTGGGGGCGGGGGCTCGAGGCCTTCTCTTGCAGTCCAGAGCTGTATCAGTCCAGCTAGCTGGACCCAAGCTCCCTCTGCAGAGGCTGAGGGTGGAGACTCATCTGCAGCGTCTCTGCGTGTGAGTGCCAGCCTGCACCAAAAGGCTCACTCTCTCAGCTTTGTGCAGGGAGGTATCGTAGCCCATGAGGTGTATCCGAGGCGCCATTATTGCTGATTGAAAACTTTTCCCAAGACCCCGCCGTGACGACTTGCAATATAGACAGCATTGGCAATTTTTGATAGTCTCTACGGAGACTGAATTTAAAAAAAAAAAAAAGACTCACTTATTTGCCCAAACCCTTTCAGTGACACGTTTTATAAAAATAATCTATATTTTGGTCGGGTGCAGTGGCCAATGCTGTAATTCCAGCATTGGGAGGTCAAGGCGGGTGGATCACCTGAGCTCAGGAGTTCGAGACCACTCGGGCCAAAATGGTGAAACCCCATCTCTACTGGAAATACAAAAAAATTTAACTGGGTGTGGTAGTCCCAGCTACTTGGGAGGCTGAGGCAGGAGAATCACGTAAGCCCCAGAGGCGAAGGTTGCAGTGAGCCAGGATCGTGCCACTGCACTCTAGCTTGGGCTAAAGAGTGAGACTCTGTCTTTAAAAATAAAAATAATAATCTATATTTTCCCCCAAATAGCTGACATCAGTGAAGATCGTCAAAGAAAATTCAATATATGACCACAGAAAAGATCACGCAAAAACTAAAACTGTTCCGAAACAATGCAATAAATGTGTTTTCCAACATATATAAATCAATTTTCTAATAAGACTTGTATGTGCGTGTTAGTAAAACTTTATTAGGAACTAAGTGAATTCAATGCTAGTTAAACAGTGCATAGGAAATATAAATTTTGACTTAATATTGCAAAAGAAAATCAATGTTTCTTTGAAAACAGAGATGGTTATGGTGATGCTTCACTATGTGTGCACTAGGCTTGGCGGTGGCGCCCAGCTGTTTGGTTAAACACGAACCTGCATGTTGCTGTGAAGGTATTCCGTAGATGTGATGGATACGTACAATCAGCTGACTTTGAATAAAGTAGCGTGTCCTCTTGAATGTGCGTGAGCTTCGTCCAACCAGCTGAAGGCTTTCAGAGCAAAGACTGAGCTTTCCCTGAGAAAAAGGAATTCTGCTTCGAGCCTGCACCACAGAAACTCGGAGTTTCCAGCCTGCTTGGCCTGCTTTACAGATTTCAAACTCAAGACGGCAACATCAGCTCCTACCTGAATTTCCAACCTGTGGGCCTGTCCCAGAGGTTTCAGACTTGCTGGCCTCCACAATTATTTGAGCAATTCTTTAAAATCTCTCTCTCTCTCTCTCTGTGTCTGTGTGTCACACAGACACACACATACACCACACATACATACATACACATACACACACATATTCACACATACACACACACACACACACACACATCTCCTATTGGTTCTGTTTCTCCAGAGACCCCTGGCTGATGCGGTTATATTCTAAAGTTAAGCATTTTACAGAAGTTATTTGAGAAGACGTGTTGAACAGCTGAGTTTTGCTACATTTATTCTTCCTATAAACATCATGAGTCAAGGAAATTCCTTAACTGTACTTGGTCACTTGTTTCAGTGTCAAAATATATTTAATGTCATTCTGTCTGAAAGCCGAATCTGACTTTCTTTTATTGTCATCTGAACATATTCCCTCTTATTTTCCACTCAATGTGAAGATTAAGTCTCAATTTCTGTGGACTATACAGTAAAGGAATGAAGCCACATGTAATAGTATCTTTTCCAGCCAACAGGAATTATCTTAATCTAATTTGGGATCATAGGAAATTTGGATGATTTCATACTTAGTTCTACATAAGCAGTATTATGTAAGAAAAGAACAGGCTGGGCATGGTGGCTCATGTCTGTATTCTCAGCACTTAGGGAGGAGGTGGGCAGATCATTTGACTTCAGGAGTTTGAGACCAGCCTGGCCAACATGGTACTTCCCACAAGGTCAACAGGTGGAACCCCGTCTCTACAAAAGATACGAAAATTATCCTGGTGTGGTAGTGCATGCCTGTTGTCCCAGCTGCTTGGGAGGCTAAGTCAGGAGGATAGCTTGAGTCTAGAGAGGTCAAGGCTGCTGTGAGCCAAGATCGGGCCACTCTGTACTCCAGCCTGGGTGACAGAGCTAGACCGACCTTGAAAAAAAAGAAAGGAAAAAGAAAGAGAAAGGGAAAGGAAAGGAAAGGAAAGGAAAGGAAAGGAAAGGAAAGGAAAGGAAAGGAAAGGAAAGGAAAGGAAAGGAAAGGAAAGGAAAGGAAAGATATATAAATAGTCTCACGTTTTCTTACTGATTCCGAAAGATTAGTCATGCACAGTAGAGAAAGCTGACAAATACCACCTTAATCAAGTGATCATAGTTGATCTGGGCAGAAATGGACTAATGAGAATCGTTGCCACCTGATAGAAGGCAATGAGAAGACAGCCTCTAGATGGAAGGTGAGTAGAGACACGAGCAGTGAACACAGCAGGACCCCCGTCCTGGATCCTTTGGCTGTAAAAGATATTATTGGTGCAACTGGAGAAACTGGGGTGCAATGCATAGAGTTGGTTGTAGGAAGATTTCATTGTTAATTTCCTGATTTTTCTGGTGGCATTTTTGCTTGTGTAGGCGAATCTCCTTTTTTGAAGGAATTACCAACTGGAGACTTGGGCATTGTGTCAGCATTACTCTCACATGATCCAGGAAAAAGTTTCTACTATCCTTGAAAATTTCAGTATGCTTGTAATTGTCTGAAAATCAACAACAACAAAAGTGGGATAGGCTCCAGGGAAGATCCTGTCTCCTTGCCTTTTCTGGCTTCTGCATTTCTCTGCTCAAGGCCCCTCCCCCAGTCTTCAAAGCATCTTCTTGCCTCTATGACCTCTGTGCCCAACCTTACATCTTCTGTCCCACCCCAACGCCACTGCCCCCTGCTGGTAAGGACATGTGATTACCTTGGGTTCACTAGGATAATCCAGGGGGTACATCGCTTATTTTTTATAATAATGTATCTTGAGGGTTTTTCTGTGTCAGATGTTTTAAACATAGTATTCCTTACTATGAATAAACCATAACGTATCCATTTCTCTAGAGATTGTTTCTAATCATTAGCTATTGCAAACAATGTTAACTGGTATATTCCTGCATCTGTCATTATTTCTGTGATGTCAAAGAAGAATTGCTGTGTGAAGACATGGGACGTTTTGTTAGATGGCGACAAATTGTTACCCCGAAAGACTGTATCTTTAGAGTCACTCTGGATGCACTGCCGAGGAGTTAGCTCTGGAGCAGCTAAGAAAAAAAACAACTACATCTTTAGATTCCTACCAACAGGGTAGATTCCTACCTACATGGGAAGAAACCATTCACTCATACATTTACAGGCAGTATCAGCTGTCAGATGAGTGAGATATGGTATATTGTTGTCATTCTCTTTGCACTTATCTGCTAGACTACCGGAGAGTTTGAGCATCTTTCCGTGTGCATAAAGGCCATTTGCATTTCTATGACTAGCAGGATCCTTTACACCCATCTCTACTTGGTGTTTAGGTTTTCCTATTTTATATGCAAAGTGGCAGCGAGGCATGACAATCTGCAATCAGCCTTTTAACTAAGGTCTGTGTTGGTTACCGTCGACCCTTAGAGTTTCTGTGGGGCTCTGTTTGCAAGGACGGCAAGCCTCTGACAACGCCTGTGTTTGCTGGTGGAACTCTCTGCCTTGTTTCTCGTAAGTTAGGCCATTTGCTTTCAATATTCCAGAAATCTGCAAACCGCCCCCCGCCCCAGCAACCAAATTCTGATTTAATGCTGAGAGCCTTCTTCTTTTCCAGCTCTGTGATGGAGAATGGATTTATTCTCTTAAGAAAATAGATTGTGTATCCTTTTTATCAGATTTTGGGAGCTAGGGAGGGGAGGTAAAGACAAATAGTGACTGCGTCATCCTCAAAGAGGAGGCTCACTGCATTTTTCCCTGGTCTCTCCGGTCATTTTCAAGGACAAGTTTTCAGATACTATAGTAAAGGGACAGATCGTCACCCTCAAAAGAAAAGTAGCTCACGGCCGGGCGCTGTGGCTCAAGCCTGTAATCCCAGCACTTTGGGAGGCCGAGGCGGGTGGATCACAAGGTCAAGAGATCAAGACCATCCTGGTCAACATGGTGAAACCCCGTCTCTACTAAAAATATAAAAAATTAGCTGGGCATGGTGGCGTGTGCCTGTAATCTCAGCTACTCAGGAGGCTGAGGCAGGAGAATTGCCTGAACCCAGGAGGCAGAGGTTGTGGTGAGCCGAGATCACACCATTGCACTCCAGCCCCGGTAACAAGAGTGAAACTCCGTCTCAAAAAAAAAAAAAAAAGAAAGAAAAGTAGCTCAAATACCAAGACGAGCTCAAGGAAATTTGTGCATTTTCCAGAAAAGGGGGATGTGAAAATCATTTATTCCTGAAGATCAGTGCTGCTATATGCTTACTTGATAAGTGATAACAGATTAAGCAGTTATTAAAGCAATATCTTCCCAGTTGTGTTTAATTAAATGAGAGATCCCCAGGCTGCTGACAGGGGACCTGATATTTCAGTTTCCAAATGATGGCGAACCTAACACGAGGATTGGCATATCCACAATTAAAACCAAGGCATATAATTGAACGATTAGAATTCACGTGATCTACAGACTCAGAAAACAATTCATTTGAATATACACAAAGTCCTCATTTAATGTAATAGTTTCTTGGAAACTGTAACTTTAAGCAAAACAATGTAAATGGAACCACTTTTTTTTCCTCATCAACATTATAACCAACGTTATTCAAGGACCTGCTGTTAGTCAAGGACTTTGCTCAAAGTCACAGTTTCCAAGACCCTACCCATGACGTTACATGAGGACTTACTGTATAAATGCGCTCATTTTTTTCAGAAAGGAGGTTTCGATGATAACCTCTGAAGGGAATTAGAAATGATGGCTTCCCCTGGAGATGTGCATCAGAGAGGAGGAAGGAAGCCAGAAGGAGCTGTGATGCCGACGTCCCTGAGAGCAGAGTGCAGGCCAGCCATGCTCCTTCAGCTAAAGGACAGCTCAAGGGGGAGAGTGTATCTGAGCAGGGGACGGAGAGACATGAGAAAATGCTGGCATGTGTGAAAATGACCCCCGCCCTCAGTAGGACCGGGCTGCATGGGAAGAGACAAGATACAGCAGAACCCATGCGCCGGGGGCGGGTGACAGAGAAACAAAGCAGCCGCGTG